TACTTTGGCCCCCTGATGCGAAGAACTGACTCATTTTAAAAGACCCTGGTGCTAGGAAAGATTGAAGGCAGGAGACGAAGGGACGACAGAGGATGAGATGGTTGCATGGTTACCGACTCAATGGACACGAGTCTGAGTAAATTCTGGGATTTGGTGAGGGACAAGGAAGCCTGGCGTGCTGCAGTCCGTGGAGTCGCAAATAGTCGGACGGGTGAGCGACTGAACTGAACTGATATTCTTCCCCGGCTTGTTGAGTTTCGGTCTGAGATTTTTTTCGTAAGAATTATTCAGCAAGTTTTTTTGGTTCCGCGGAGAAGCGCTTCGGCAGATTTCAGGCAGCACCGAGGGATGGCCGGGCCGAACCCCTGACAGCTGGTATATTCACTGGGTTTGCAGGTGGGCGGCTGCTCAGCGTAGGCAGGTCAAGGAACGATTGTTTCGCACACCGCGGGTCACACGTAAGCCAGGAAGCTGCTTATCGCAGACAGCACGTTATACTTACAAAGCCTCCCGGTCCTGTCTCGCTCGGGCCCGGCTGTGCAGTTCTGCGCAGGCGCGGCAGGCGTGCGACATCCGCCACTTACGGCCGAAGCGGTTTGTGCTGGGAGTTCGTGGCGCGGTGCAGGGCTCTTAGGAACGAGCGGCTTGGGCGCGGGTAATCAGCTCCCTTTCCCCTTCCCCCCACCTCTTCTAGGTTCTTGGGAGTACCGCGGGGCTACCGGACCTGATGCGGGCGCCCGGTCGTGGACTGTCCCATCCTGCTCCTCTACAGCTCGTGGTGCTCCCGCGCCCAGGTGGGGGTGAGGGGCGGGGTCGGGACTGGGTTGGGCTCCATCCCGGCGTCTTCCTTCTTAAAATCTCCCGGGTAACTCACGGTTTTTCTTGTTTTCCAAGACTGGTATCCGGGGGAGTGTGACTTGCAGGGTCCGCCATGGAGCCAGAGCAGATGCTGGAGGGACAGACGCAGGTACTAGGAGGCCCTGGATTTAGGCTGGCAGTGTGCAGCAAGGAAGAGTGGGTGATGCCTCTGAGACTTGTGTTTTGTTTTCTAGGTTGCAGAAAATCCCCACTCTGAATATGGTCTCACAGACAACGTCGAGGTAACTTGCCCAGTTCCTATGCCATATCTTTGCGTCTCTTAAGAGCTGCAGAAACTTGGGATCCATTTTTGCTAGGTTGCTTTGCACAAGGGAAAACTTTTATCATCTGAACCAAGTAGTGTCACGTTATGGGCAGCTTATTTTATTAGCAGCACTAATGCTTCGTGCTATGTAGACGTACATATTAGCTGAGTCCAGAGGTTGAACTTTGAAAATGATATAGAGAAAGAAACATGTATTACTAACGGAGATTGTCAATCGTTTTGCTTGGTGTCTGTTTATGTTCTGTTGGAATATTGCAGTGGAAAAACTGCACATTACAATTAGGAAACCCATTGTTTTTGTAGCGGATAGTGTGCTGGTGAAGTCAACAGTTAGTCAAGGTTGATATCTTTGCAGAGTTCATTAGCAGGAGACATTGGAAGCATAACACAGGTGGTAGACACTGTTTTTGCCTTACATGGTTAAATCTGAATTCAGAGAGTACATGTGCAAAACCGTATACAAAAGGAGGTATACTTTTATAAAGCTTTTTCATGCATTTATTAAGAGGTTACTCTCTAAAAGAAGCGGTTACTTTGTAAGTGAAAGAATAAATGCTAGAACAGTTGAATTAACCAGAGCTAGGTGGGATTGGTTAGGAATATAGAGAAGCTATGTGTGTTTTATGGGGGAAAGAAAAACATCAGTAATAAAGTTTGGATAAATGAGGGCAGGAGCATTTCCAAGTACAATAATAATAGTAATAGCTACTAATATTAGCGTTAAGTAACTTTTGTGTATTTTCTGTCTTGCAAGGCTCAGAGAAGTTGACTAACTTGTCTAAGTTCACCAGGAAGAAGGTGAACTGTGTTTTAAACCTAGGCAGGTTGACATTTTTGAGGTGGGATTAAATTATATTGCTGACCTTGATCAACTCCAGAATTCCCTGTCATGTGGAGTGACTTCTCTGTGCCTGTAAATTGCCAGGATTATTTATTGGTTTGATATCAGGGTTAAGAGAATTTGAATCTTCATGATGCAGTTTTTAATTGAACTGCTATGTTGAATCAGATGAAGATACTCTATGCCACTTAGTGTTTTAGTCATTTAAGAGGATTATTTTTAGGCATCAGTGCAGTCTTTTCTTCTTGGTACTTGTATTTGGAGGTAGAGCCATGATACAGTGATACCAAATACATTTTTTCAAACCTTCAGACCAATTTCCATAGTACAGCGAGAAAAAAGGAAAGTGGAGTGAATGAATGACGATGCTACATTATTTGGTGATTGGTTTTCTTGCTTCCATAATTTTAAAATGCCTGTTCTTTTATGAGTTAATGGTGATAGTAAAATAATAATTGTTTGTTTATGAGGTTTTACTTGGTAAAATAGAGTTAACAACCTTATGTTAGTCCCTTCTTTCAATATGTTATTGTTAATTTACTTGTTTGTGATATCTCAAAGTCTGGAAATCACTGTTCTACAGCTGCTGCTTTTCTTTTTAGAATTCCATTTTATTTCCATTATTGACATATAATTTTTTTGGTGGTTGCTTTAGGACTTGTACAGAAGTTTAACTTCCCACAATTTGCCTCCAAGTGGTATCTTTTCATGTATGGTATAAGGACCTTACAACAGTATCCTTCCATTTTCTCTCTCCAGGCCTTTATACTATTGTTATCACATATTATATTTCTGCATATGTTATAAATCCTGCAATCGATTGTTTTTATTTTTTCTTTAAAAAATCAATTATCTTTTTCAGTTTAAATTTTTTAAATTGTTTACTTAACATTATAGTTACTTTATTGCTCTAGAAAATTTAATTTTTAAAACCATCAGATTACATAATGATAATGAGTCTCTGCCCCCTCCACAGTCAACTGTATATTAATGGGCTTCTCTAACTTAGTAGATAAATATTTCAAAATTACAAAAATAGCTGGTTACAGTTGAGTTATAAAGTAACTATCATATTTCTGTGGATCAAAAAGTTGAATAAAAAGAAAACTGATGTTACTGATAAGTCACTGACTGAGAAGTCCAAGTCACATACACAGAAGAAAACTGGTTATAAAAACCATTACATTACTCAGTATTAGCATCTTGCAATGTTTCAAGCAGTTCCGATCATGCATCAGTAATAAAGATCAGAATGAATTTTATACAGGAGTTGATGGAAGCTCAACAAATGTATTAAACATACAACTCAATCACAGTTGGATTATACATCCAATTCCCCCAAACTTGTCTCTGCATTGCAAAATAGAAATCTATACTGTTTACCCCTTAATTCCTCCTCTGGCCCCATTCCCAATCAATAACCTTACATATAAACCTTTCTTTAAATCTTTTAAATCCGATTTGATGGGTGAGTATACATAATCATTATTATTTTAAAACAGATACCAAGTTTAGTCATATGCTAAATCTTCAGTTGCATGCCTTTCAAAAGGCGTCTGCACTGCTGTCATTGTGAAAATTTAGGCCTAGGAAACTGAGAAAACTCAGTCAAGAATCTGATCTAAGTAATTCTGTAAACTCCTAAAACCTGTGTGTGCACATTTCTAAAAAAAGGAGGATTTTGTATTTGAGAAATGTTAACTCAATGGTCTCTGAAAGGAAAACTGTCTTGACTACTGCTCTCTAATGTAAAATGCTAGGTGACCACAGATATTTACCCAGTTGGCTAACAGACAAGCTTACAGTGGGACCTTTAAAAAAAAAAATTCGAAGCCATAGAAGTAATTATGAAAATAAAAATTTGGAGGATCATAGCATAAGATACATAGAGAATTCCTATTTTAATGATATATCCAAAATAAATCTGTCCTAACCAAGGAGCACTTGGTTGGTTCAGAAAAAATTTGAAATTAAACACAGTGGGAAGTGTTCTTAAAATCACCTAAAATTACTGAATGGCAAAAGAATACTGTCTTAAAATATGCTGAATTTACACATTAATATTACCGTAATCAACTCATGCCAGATACGAACTAAGGTTACCAATTAGATGAAAACAAATTTTATAGCTATTTTTACAAGAGAAATAGGTGTACTTCATGATTAAGGCACACCAGTCTAAAGAACTTTTGATACATTTGTCACAAGATTTAAACTTACTTAACCATTAACAACACAGTACAGTAAAGTTCCTCAGTATTTAAAAGTTTGATTTAGCATGCTGGGAAAAGGATTATTTTTCTTTTGAGATGCATTTCTATAAATTGCATTGAGGTCAGTTTTACAGCTGGAATTAATCATCTCTAACAGAAGTACCAGTGGCTAATAATACTCATTTAGATTACATATAACTTAGCTGGATGTTAAACTATGCAACTGTTCGTGCTAGTCTGCTCATCAAGGCAATGCTCTGGAGACAGAGTCTTCTCACAAACCCTGGGCAAGCAGGTTTCATTATTAGATACTCAACAACAGCCCTCAATTCTTTGAGAGCGGTATTGAGGAGTCTATAGTATATAAAAAGCTGGAGCAAACTTTCTTGGCTACTAAAAAAGAATCAAAACTGTAGCAGGCATCAAGGTTATTTAATGACAAGCAATGAATTTCAGAATATTCTGTTGATTAGTGCTTAATTTATGCAAGAGAGGTCTCAGTAGAGATAAACTATTTGAACCCTTTGCACTAAGTGCCTTTTCCCAGTATGTGGCAGCTTGAAGCCAAGAGAATAACAAGACGGGGAGCATATTCATTGTCACGGGACGAATTGACAAATATGAGTGAATACAACAGGTAGCGCCAGCAGTCCCCTAACAGAGCTCGGGCCAGGAAGGCTCTGCTTAACTGGAAGCGAAGTCATCTTCGGTGCAGCCTCAGAGCCCTAGTCAGAGCACTTGCCAGCAAAGCACGCTGGTAACAGCTTGCCGCTTCACGCAACCCAGCAAGAGGCAGAACAAGCAAACAGAACAGTAAACTGGACAAGCCAGAAAGCCACATTGTTGTCTTCAGTTCACTGGCCGTCAAGAATTGCACTGTGCCTGCTCCTTGGGGGCCGTTTGGGGCATTTATGCACTATGGGAGTCCCTCACACACATCTGGGATGCTGTCTGGCACCAGCAAGATTTCCAGAAAGACCAGAGCAAAGGCGGAACTGCAGAAAGAGGCCCAGCAGGGTCGACCTGACGCCACCTGCTCCAGGTGTTTGTGGAGCCCAGAAGTGCTCCCTTCACTTCTGTCTAATTATCTCTTTAAAAGAGATTTAAACATAAAGAGGAAGGAGTCATGTTTATCCATATAGTTATTGTTTCTGGGTTCTCCAGCCTTTTGTGTAGATCCAGCTTCCCATCTGGCATCATTTCCCATCCTCCTGAAGGGTTTTCTTTAACGTTTCTTGTAGTGGAGGTCTGCTGGTAAGGAATTCTTTAAGGTTCTGAATGTCTAAAAAGGTATAATTATTTTGCCTTTGTTTTGAGGTATATTTGCTGAGTGTAGATATGCTTCACTGTCTTCTGGCTGATGTTGTTTCTGATGAAAAGTGTTCTATCCCTACTCTCTTTGCTCCTCCATATTTAAATGTCTTCTCTTTGTGCTTTTAAGATTTTATTTATTACTAGTTTTAGATAACTTGATTTTGATGTGTCTTGACATAATTTTTTGTTTGTTTTAATGTTTCTTGTTCTTAGGATTGAGTTTCTTGGATCTTTGCATTTAGAGTTTTAATGATATTTGAAAATTCAGACATTTCTTCAAATATTTTCAAGTATTTTGTTAGCTTAATTTACTCATTCTTTCCTCTGTCTTCTTAAACATATGGAATATATTATAATAACTAGCTTAATGCATTGCCAATGCTATCTGTATCATTCCTGAGTCTGTTTCTGTGAATTGGTTTTTCTCTTCATCATGGGTAGTTTTTTCCTGCTTCTTTATCTGTCTGGTAATCTTGACTGAAGGCTTTGCACTGTGCACTTTGCTGGGTGCTGGTGCTTTTTTTTTTTTTTTTGCGTTTCTTCAGACCTTCTTGAGCTTTGTTCTGGGACATGGTCAAGTTATTTGGAAACATTTTGATCCTTTTGAAGTTTGCCTTTAAGCTTTTTTAGATGGGACCAGATTAGCCTTTGGCAACCCACTCCAGTTTTCTTGCCTGGAGAATTCCATGGACAGAGGAGCCTACACTCCATGGGGTCAGACAGGACTGAGTGGCTAACCGACTAGCCTTTAGTTCATGCTTAATTTCTTCCTTGTGCATTCTGCCCAATGCTTCACGTGTCATGAGGTTTTCATTCTGGATCATAGGACGCTGAACTACTCCTGGTCTGTCTGAGCTCCGGGGATTGTGCCATGTGCTTCTTCTAGGTGGTTTTTTCTTCTGGCCTTGGGTAGTTCCCTCACACTCATGCTCTCTGACTAGTACTCACCTGAAGACTGGGAGACAGTCTCTTTGTCTCTTTCTGATCAACCCCCTTCTGTGAAATTGTCCTCTTAGCACTCTGCTCTGCGATTTCTAGTTCCCTTGGTCTCTCTGATTTTTCAGCTCTGTCCTCTCAGCTGAGGGAGACTGCAGGGCTCTGCTTGGTTCCTTCTTCCTGGGTATCATTGTAAGTTCTCCAGGCAGGATGCAGGAAGCGTGGCAATCATAGGATTCACCTGACTTTTTCCCACTTTTGTGGTCTACACTCTTAAAAGCTTCATCTCTCATGAGTGTGTGTGTGTGTATTTGGATATACGTTTAACCCTTGAACAGCACAGGTTTGAACTGGGTGGGTCCACTTAAATGTGGATTTTTTCCAATAGTAAATACTGTAGTACTGCATGATTTCCAGTTGGTTGAACCCAAGGATGTAGAAATGTAGATAGAGAACCGCAGATAGGGAGGAGCCAACTGTAAGTTGTAGGTGGGTTTTTGGCTGGGCAGAACGGGTTGGTGCCCCAAACCTTCATGTTGTTCAGGGGTCAGCTGTAAATTTTTTTAGATTAATTTAGGATTTTTGACTTTACTAAAATTAAGCATTACAGTACATAATAAGTATTTAGTGAATGTTTAAATGATATAAATGAGAGAACTTGTCAAGGACCTTATAGGATCTATTAGAGTTGCTTAGGTATTGCTGTTTTTTGTTAAGGTATCGGGATGTCATGTAAATGACTAGTTTTTATCATATATTTGTTGCAATTTACTGATGAACAAGAAAGTTTCTTAATTTATGGGCAAATAAAATAGCTATTCTATTCATTAGTGTATATAATTATTTTTATTATGTCCAAAAATTAGACTGAAAAATCATAAGCAAAATTAGACAAGTTATCTGATAGTTCTGGCAAATGTTTTGAAAAGCACAGTATGTATGTTATATGCTTAAAGTTTTTTCTCAGTTTTTACAAAATCTTCTTTAAAAAAATTAAGTACAGAAAAATTGTTTTTATAATTATTGACTCATTTATATCCAGTTCTAGTATGATTGGAATAAAAGTTCTTTAAATAAAAGTGCTCTTAATAGTGTTTCGTCTTTTGAGATAGCCACTTATTTCTAAATTTCTGAAATGGTAGATTTTCAGAAGGCACAGCTTTTAGTAAAGCCATTTTTGATACTCTGGATATCAGATAATCTATATGAAAGGCCCAAGTTTTCGCATGGGGATTCTTAGGTGAAGGAAGTATAAGTCATCATTTTCTAAACATTATTTAAATATCACAGTAATGATCTTTCCCATATTAGTCATGTCATCTGTTTTTTGGCTATTTTTACTTAATATTTTTCCTTAAATTTACTTAAAAAATCAGATGCATTTATTTTAAAAGGAAACATAAATGGAAAAGCATTCTCATTGTGGTAGAGGTAACTATAAAAATGAAAACAGGAAATACAAAACAGAGACTACAAAACAGGTAATAAATTTTAGCTAGACTGTTGCCTGTTGAAGCCTCTGAGCCTGAAGCCTGTTCCCTGTCTTAAGATGGGAGGTTAGCAAGTGTTACAGAAGTGTTAGAGACATGTTAGTATCAAACTGAGACTTTGTCCTTGATATTATGTGATGAAAAAATTGAAACAGAACTAGTTTTCTCACTGTGATTCCGTGCTACTTAGTGTCATGTCCAGATTTTTTTTGAAGCACACTGTAGGAAGATATTCTCAGAGAAAAAGTACTTATTTTTGCTCCTAAAAAAGGCAGAGAAAGTAAGTGTAGGATATGGAGATATGACGTTAAAAGGATGAGATATAATGGTGCCTTTAGAAAATTCTTGAGTGACATTTAGAAATGGGTCTGATTTTATTTTGGCATAGAGATTTGCAGTTTTAATATTTATGCATGTTTTTTTGAATTCTCTAGAGGATAGTAGAAAATGAGAAAATTAATGCAGAAAAGTCATCAAAACAGAAAGTGGATCTCCAGTCTTTGCCAACTCGTGCCTATCTGGATCAGACAGTTGTGCCTATCTTATTACAAGGACTTGCTGTACTTGCAAAGGAAAGGTAAGATAATAGTGTCTCTCTGCAAATGGGCTTACCAGAGAAAGCAAAATAAAAACTTCCCTGGTTGAAATATCATTAGTTATGTGTAGTTATTTCTTTTACTGTATAAGAAACTTATAGATACTAAAGATTCTTTAAAAAGAAGTCAGACATAACCTCAGTTCAGACATTGTATTTTTATACTAGTCTTAGATCATGTGCATATTTGTAATCATGGTATACATGTAATTTTATATCTCGTTTTTGAACATTTAGGTCCAATTTCCTTTATTACTGTTGGTCACTAGGTAGTTTATCTGCTTTCATTTCTTTTTGTTTTTGTTTAATTACTTCCTTAGGATAAACACCCAAGAGTTGGTTTACTATTTCAAATGACATGACTATTTTTATGGTGTTTGACCCATAATAATATATTTCCATCGAAAAGTTTATCCTTAAGATTCTTCCAGTGTCATCATAGCCTTAACTACACGTGTGTTATAAACTTTTTTTATGAAGTTGTTTTAATTTACATTTTTTTTGTTAGCAAGATTACAATTTTTTCTCTGTTATGTACATGTTTTTTCCCCTGGTAATTCTACCTAAATTATTTTTGTATAAGTAAATCAATAAGAAAATTTTTTTGTAAGTTACATTAGTCAGTATTTATTGGATGTAACTGGCTTCCAGGTGGCGCAGTGGTAAAGAACCTTCCCTCCAATGCAGGAGAAATGGGAGATGGGGGTTCAGTCTCTGGGTGGGGAAGATCCCCTGGAGAAGGAAATGGCAACCCACTCCATTGTTCTTGCATGGATATTTTTCTCAAAAGACTAATAATGAACACTGTAAAATTTCCAGTATATTGGAAATTCTAAATATTACTTTAAATTCTAGAAGCCTAAAATTTGAAAAAGTTTTAAAGTAATATTCTATTAATAAATGAAAGTTTTTGCATTTATTGTAAGGGATTTTAGCAAAATAATCCATCAAATTATTATGTAACAAGTATTGTCTCTGTCTAGTTAGCTCAAAAGGCTGTTTAAAGTGCTAAGAGAATGTTCAGAGATTGTTGTAAATCAGTTCTAAATATGCTTTTTTATAATGGAGTTTAAAATATATGGTCCCCCAACTTTTCATCTTTGGACCTGTTTTATCAGCAAAAAGTACATATGTAAAGGTGATAAATGTGAAATAACATTATTTTATTAAAATTTTTTTCGTTTTATTGAGAAAAATATACATCACTGTTTAAAGTATACAGCATGATGTTTTACCGCATAGGTTTAGTTAACATCCATTATCTCATACATAGATACAATGGAAAAAAAAGGAAACATCTTTTTGTTATGAGAACTCTTAGGATCTACTCTTTTAACAACTTTCTTGTATGTCATATAGCGGTGTCAGCTATGGTCATGTTGTACATTACATCCTTTGTACTTACAATTGGAATTTTATACCTTTTGACCGCCTTCTTCCAGCTCCGCCTCCTACCCACTGCTTAATTTTAAAATATGTTTAAGGGACTTCTGGCAATCCAGTGGGTTAAGACTCCGTACTTCCAGTGCAGGGGGCACAGATTCAATGCCTAGTCCAAGAACTAAGATCTCGTATCCCATATGGCACAGCCAAAAGAAAAGAGATTTTATGGAACAATACATTTAACGCATCTAGAATGTAAATTTCTAAAATTTGGATTTCTTTTCCCTTACAGACCACCAAATCCCATTGAATTTCTAGCATCATATCTTTTAAAAAACAAGGCACAGTTTGAAGATCGAAACTGACTTATTGGGAAGAACAGAAAAATTTGGTTTCTACTGTAGATTTACATGATTAAGAGGCAGCTTTAATTGCCATGATCCCCCCCCACCCCACTCCACCCTTTTTGGAAGAATAAGAACCTTCAGGACAACAGAACTTATTTCGGAGTTGCAGAAGAAGACATCATTTCCCTTATTGATTTAATCACAAACTTATTTAATGAGTGTGTTCCGTGCAATTTTTTTTCAGATTGTCTTTAACTTTGTTTTTAAAATGACCTTCAAAATAAACTGTTAAAACATCATTATTTTACAGTAGTTTTTGTTCTGTATGGCAAATATTTTATGCGGTTCAGTTGTTTTCATGTGTCTTGCTCCCATGTGTCTTAACATGCTGCAGAGTTTTACAACAGTGTGAAAATACACCATAGTCAATTCGAATATAGAAAACTCTCAGCCAGTTTTTCTAGTGTTGTTCCTGGATCTCTCAGAGAATAGGATTTGGGCATTTTCAGTTTTTAACAAATATCATTGGTGATTCTAATGCACAATAAATTTGGAGTGCTGTTATAAGTACTGCAGAGGGTGTCCAATATCCTTCAGTGCTATCAACCTTTATGCTATTAATATAGTAGTAGATATCATTTATTATAGTTCTACTATGTGTTAGGGACAGAACTATTTTATTTAAATTATCTCTAATGTAGCAACTCTGCAAAGTAGTAGATCTTGCTATTCCGATTTTGCAGATGAAACTGATTGGGAGAGGTTAAGTGACTTGCTCAAGGCCACACAGCTGGTAAGTGTTTGGGCATTGAGACGCAGTTCTACCAATGTGTTGCTGATAGCTAAGTGAAATTCTTGGGCTAGTTAACATACTGCTGCTTTTTGCAATTAAAAAGCTAGTCCTTTTTTTTTTTCAGGTCTGCTCACTTTGTCCTGTATGAAGAAATTGAGATAATGCGCTAGCTCAGTAAAGAGAAAATTGTCTGCAGAGAGCCAGGCAGGAAGAACATTCACTAGAGCTCTGGTTTCTTAACTGGGAGTGATTTCGCACCCTTCTCCCCTCCTTTCCCAAGGGACACTAGGGGATGTCCAGAAACATTTTGGTGTCATAACTGGAGTAAGGTGAGATTCTACTGGCATCTAGTGGATAATTGCCAGGCACGCTGCTAAATATCTTAATGCATAGACAACCTGGGTGTCCCATGCATACCCCCAAATCGTCCAGCTCAAAATGTCAGTAGTGCTAAGGTTGAGAAACCCTGCTTTGGAAGCATGTTAGAGACATGCCTCCAAGCTAAACATGTGAAGGCAGAGTTAGAAATGTAATGCTGACATGGTATGTCTTCTAGTTCTCTTTAATACAGCAAAAACTTACTAAAGTTCTCTTTAATATAGCAAAAAAGGAGTGACGCTTGGGGAGGTGATATGGTTTTGATGTATCTATGTGGGTTGATAGGTCTGAATGGGATAAACCTGGAAATACTGGACTCATACACTGCTTATAGTTTTTGCAAGTATTAATTTCACTAAATTTATTTTGGTGATTTGACTAATATGTTAATCTACCTTTTTTTTTAGTGTTATTTTCATATTTGAGTAAGTACTAATTGGGTAGTCTTTTATTAAAATATAGTTTTAACAGTCCATCAGCGATTCACATCAGAGCCACTTGTGAAACTTTTCATATAGAAATATATACATACATATATTAAAAGTGTAAATAGAAATTATATCTGTTATATATCTCTATGCATGCCTGGACCCTGGAGAGCCTGATGCAACTGGGATAGAGTCTGGGCTTCTCAATTTGGGAAAAACTCTAAGGCATTCTCATAGCACCTTTGGTTAGCGACTGCTGCTGCTGCTGCTAAGTCACTTCAGTCGTGTCCGACTCTGTGTGACCCCAAGGACATCAGCCCACCAGGCTCCCCCGTCCCTGGGATTCTCCAGGCAAGAACACGAGTGGGTTGCCATTTCCTTCCCCAATGAGTGAAAGTGAAAAGTGAAAGTGAAGTCGCTTAGTCGTGTCTGACTACTTAGAAGTAATTCAGTACTCTGCCTAGTACTGCATTAATTTTAGTGTTCTATTGAGTTATCTTCAAGATAGGGCTTAAATTATTCAATCTTAAAATTGATACCTTTTTCAGTAAGGGCTGAGAATAGGGGTGTCTTTTGCTGGCAGTGCACATCCTGCTTATCATGTACCATATGCCAAGCACCATTCTAAATACATGAATTGTCATTTAATCCTCAAAACCCTATGATGGAGGTTTAATAACTCACTTTTAGATGAGAAAAGTGAGATTGAATTAACTTGCTTAAAGTTACAGGGGAAGTAAGTTCAGGGCAGAGATTCAAACCAAGCTTAATGCTGTATTGGCTCCCTCCCCCTTAATGCTGTATTGCCCTCAGGTGTGCTTAAAATTTTTCCTTGGGAAAAATATCAGTCTGTCTTTGTGTGTACAATAGAAGCCCTCTTATCTGGTTGATAGATTAAAAGGAATCATAATAAGGAATCATAAAAGACACTGGATAGTGTTTTTTAAAAATCTTAATCTATTATTGGTAATATTTTTGATTTCAGCCATTGCTCTGGGTATGGGTTCTTTGATTGGAATTCTGTATTTCTTCCACACACCACTCCTATAATGTATGCAGTTTCAGGTTTTTTGAAAGTAGAGTAAGATCTTAGACATAAGATCTTAACACCTTAAGGCATTAAGTGTATAATGATCCTTCATGAGTTCTTTCTCCTGCCTTTGGTCATCTTATCTGCCTCTCATTTGACAATTGTTTTTATTGAGTCCAAAGCATTTCACCTAATTTTTGTACTAATACCTTTTGTATTATGTATTTCTATTTCATTGGCTTATGTAATATTTTATTAAATTACATAATGGCAGTACCTTGTACATCTGGTATAAATAGGTTGGAGAACGTGATTAAGCCTTGTTAGTGATGCGCACACACCTGGGAGAAGAGTTGCAACAATGTGAATTTCCTAGGTGTAATCTACCAGCTTTAAGAATTCAGCTTGTGGTGGACATGGTTCAGTGTATTTTCTATGGAGATGGAGAACATCGCTTTATTCCAGTAAGTTGGTTAAATAGGAATCACTTAAGCAAGCTTCTGTTACACTTTGAGGAGGTATTTCATGTGTAGCTGACAATTTTACTATAGAAACAATTCCTACCCTTTGATTAGGAAGATAATGTTTAGGAAACAAATTTTACAATAATAGAGTAAAAGTACTATATCCTATAGAGTGAATTTCTTGAAAAAGGTGGATAAGTGAGAGGACCAGTACAGTAAATCAGGAATAGATTCCTAGAGGATACAGAGACCTTAAATTGGAAAAACAGGGACTTCCCTGTTGGTCTAATGGTTACGACTCCACGCTTTCACTGCCAAGGGCACAGGTTTAATCCCGGTCAGGGAATTTAAGATTCCCACGTGGTGGGACCAAAAAATAAAAGTTTTAATAGAAGGAAACTAAACTGTCTTCCTAATTCTGATGAGCCTATGGGGAGAATATTGAACCTTTGTTTAAATAAATCTCATTTAGGAAAAGGTATAGGAGATTTTGGGCTTTCCAGGTGGCTCAGTGGGTCAAGAAGCCAAATGTAATGCAGGGGACACAGGTGACACAGATTCAATCCCTGGGTCAGGAAGATCCCCTGGAGTAGGAACTGGCAACCCACTCCAGTATTCTTGCCTGGGAAATCCCATGGACAGAGGAGCCTGGTGGGCTACAGTCCAAGGGGTCACAAAGACTCAGACACAACTGAGCGCACACATACACCATAGGAGATTTTAAGATTGATAACCTCCCATTAGCAACATGATAGAATGGTTGTAGGGACTGCATTAAATATTGTAGCCAGGTATGTTCCTGGACTGCATTCCAAAAAGGTATTAACAAATAGGCCTGATACATATGTCTAACTATAACAACAAGGGGAAAAAGATGGATGGTGTAAATGACTACTTCTGACAATCCGCTTGCTTAAAATCTCTGGATTTAAAGTAGGTGATCTAGGGAAATAGATCACCGGAGCTAAAGGGGGCAGTCAGTAATGAATAAGAATTTTCTTTATAGGAAAACTCATCAGCCTTTAGACACTTTAAATCTTTTGCCTCAGTTTAATTTCTCTGTTTAATTTGTTAATCCTAAATAATTAACAAATTTGCAGAAAACTCTATGTACAAAATTTACTCCAAAAAATTGGAAATGAACAAGTTTTCATCTTCTGGGAATCATTTAATATGTAAAGATTTAGCCTAGTGTCAGGTACATAGTAAGGGTTTAGTAAATATTCCTTATGAAGAATGGTTTCTAAAGAAGAAAAGGGCTAAGTCAACTGATACTAGGTTATAGTGTTAACTGAAATTAAAAGAGCATCCTTATGCTCAACTCTTCTCTCAAGCTTCAGTTTTTCAAAACCCTGTGGAATTCTAGAATATTTTTCTGGTAAAGAACTTCAGTAATTAGAGGGCTCCTCAACATAGCAGTTGTGTACAAAGTGAAAGTGAAAGTCGCTCAGTCCTGTCTGACTCTTTGCAATCCCATGGACTATACAGTTCATGGAATTCTCTAGGTTAGAATACTGAAATGAGTAGCTTTTCTCTTCTCCAGGGGATCTTCCCAACCCAGGGATCGAACCCAGGTCTCCTGCACTGCAGGCGGATTCCTTACCAGCTGAGCCACAAGGGAAGCCCAGTTGTGTATAAGATTTAAAAATGGTCAGTTTAATACTGCCATATAAGCTCCAAAAATCAAGCCTAATAAATTACTTTTGGGGTATAGGTAGTATACATATGTGGCACAAAGTTCAAAAGATACACAAAGATGTACACTGACTTTTAGCAGTTTGTTGTATCCTTCTAGAAGTATCCCACTTATATGCAAGTGTGTGAGAAGTGTTTGGTTTTACACAAATGATATCATAACCTTACACATTGTTCTGCAATTTGCTTTTTGCATTTCTTTTGACGCTCTTTCCATACCAGTATATAAGACCACCTTATTGTTTTTAAAGGGTGCATACATATGGATATATCCTAAATTAACAAGTATCATTGACAGGTACTGTGTTTGTTTCTACTTGTTAGTACAGACTGATGCAGTGACTCTCTGACATGCTATTTCAGAAGATAGTTATTAATGTTGGGCTCTAGGTGTCTTTATTTGTTGAAGTCTGTGCTTCATGAAGACTATTAATGAAGATTTCCTCCTTGCCCTTTACTTTGGATGATGTTTATGGAGTGTCAAACCCAAATCCTTGGTGGATATAATGGAATTGTTAATATGAAGTGTACAGTATTGCCAAACAGGCTTCTAGGATATCAAGTATTTTCCATTATATGGATCTTCCTTAATTTAGGGGTTGGGGTCTTTCAAGAGTTTATCCTTGAATAAAGTAGCCAGAATAAGATGGACAAGAGGAGTAATGATGGGATATATTGAGCATTCTAGAGATAATAGAAGATCCTCTAACCTTTGACTTCACTTGGCATTGTGGTCTTTCCTGAGTTTGATCAGTAAGAAAAATCCTTTGAGGAAAGAAGCCTCCAACTGAGCATTTTAATAGGGAGGATGCTTAATTTTAGATTAGATTACTAGCTTGGAACGAGACCTAGGATTGTTGCTAGGAGCAGAGGATAATGAGAACACAAACATTTACAAAGAACAGTTTATAAGTTGTTTTCAGGTGCCTTACTTAGTGATTCTCACAGGCAGTTAAATATGACTGCTGTTTGCATTTCAGAGATGAGACAACAGGGTTGAAAAGGTTAAATTACTAGATATCCATAATCACACAGCTGATGAGTGACAGAGCAATCAATGTTCTCACACCATATAAACCATATCAACTATTTCCTTTTCTTGGAATTTACAGTGAAGTGTTTACAATTTCATCAGTTATCACCGAGTTTTGTCACTTCAGAGAGTACCAGGGAATCAGCTTCAGCCCTCCTTTTTCTGTTATCCCTAGATTGATTACTTAGTATGTGTACCCCCACCCTCCAATATTTGAGCAGGTTAGCAGTGAAGTGAGAGGGTTAAAAATTGAATACAGAACTATATAGAGTGGAGGTTTTTTTCTTTTTCTTTTTTGCAGCTTAAAAAGTGTATACAAAGGTGTGAAAGTCAGAGATGTTCCAGTAATTGACCAGGACTGGGATCTCAAGAAAGATCCATGGAACTTAAAGTCGAAAAGGTGAGAATAGAAAGTGTAGTACCTGGAAAAAAAAATTCTATTACTATGACACTAGGAAAACTTGAAAATTAAGCACAGTCGTTTGCTTTGGCCTCTACACGGATCTGTTTAGTGTGAATTTCAGATATAACAATGTTATAGTTTTAATGCCAAGTCTATCTTTGAAGGCATGCAATTTGCTCTTACTCTCTTCCTAGTTTTGGAATGGTCTACTCCATAACATTTTCTTGGAGGTCCAAGATATTCTACTTTACTGTGATTATTATATAATTTTAATGTAATTGTTTCTGACACTTGCGGTGGGATTTAAAAGATAATTGAGGGTTAGAAATAATGTTTGGGGGGTTAGTCGCTAAGTCGTGTCCGACTCTTGCAACCCCATGGACTGTAGCCTGCCAGGCTCCTCTGTCCATGGGATTCTCCAGTCAAGATTACTGGAGTGGGGTACCATTTCCTTCTCCAGGGGATCCTCCCAACCCAGGAATCAAACCCTGGTCTCCTGCACTGCAGGCAAAGTCTTTACCAACTGAGCTATAAGAGAAGGCCATCTATTAGGCTCTTTATATTTATTAACTCATAACCCTAGGGACACACCTCGAGTATTGTTATGCCCATTTTATAGATGAGAATAACTGAGGCTAGCTATGTCACATTGTAGCCCAGGTACAGAGTTAAGATATGCACTTACATAAACATAAATCGAAACAAGACAAATACCACGATTAGGTGGTAAGGGTGGCCCGGTGAAGTAAAAGCATTTGCCGCACCACAGGCACACCTGCTTCTACAAATGAATTTCCCAACGTGGCCACAGGCTTGCGTGCCTAGGAATGAAACCTTCGGGGGTGAGCACCCACTAAGGGTTCCTGCGTGTGGCGGGGAAGACAGGGGACTTTCCACGTGGAAAGCTGCACCGTAGAGCCCCCGGTGCTCCCGGTTTAAGGAAGTTGGTTGGGGGAGGGGGCTTGCCCTGCGGCTGCGTCCTGCTCCCCGCGCCCTCCCCCTCCCCGCCTCTGCTGCCGCTAAACCCCGGAGAGCGGAGCGCGCACGGTGAGATTCCTCGGCGGGCCTGGCAGCGGCTGCTGGGCATGCTCAGTGGGCAGGACCCGTTAGAGTGGCGAGTAAGGAAGCGTTGGCTCTGCTCGAGGCTGCCTTCCCCGGTTCAGGCCCCGGCCCTGGGCTTTTGTGTGCGCAGAGCCGCAGCCGCCGCTGCTTCCTCGTGGGGCCGCCCGACCCCAGATGCCGTCTGGCCTGTCCGGTGTCCGCCGTTAACCTCGCCGCGCGGCCGGAGGAGGAGCGGGGCGGGGCGGGGCCAAGGGAGCGGGCCGGAGGCCGGCCTCGCCGCCTCCCCCACCCGGGCGGCATCCTGCCGGGCAGCCCGGGGCCGGCCACCCTCACGCTCTGCCGGGAGTTGGGCGAGAGGGAGAGTTGCCTCCTCGGCAGCCTGCGCCCTCCCTCGGGACCCGGCTTGGGTAAAGAATGTGCTACCCGACCGAGCCTCCTCCGGCTCCCGGGAAGCGGGTGGCCGGCCGCAGCCGCCCTGGGGAGGACCGTTCACCCGGCGTCCGAACCCCGCTTCCTTCGCGCGACCCTCCGGCCGCGGGAGGGACGCGCCTTCCTCCTCTCCCCACCCCTCCCCTCCCGTCTCCTCTCCTCTCCTCCCCGAACGGCGCCCGCGCGACCCGGGGAGTTCTCAGCCTCCCGGGCGCTCCCGGGCTCTGCTCGCCCGCCTCCTGCCAGGCAGCCTTCGCCCTCTCCACCCCTCCTCCCCCGACTGTTCAGAACGGGAGGCCGCATTTCCCCGCACCTCTTGAGGTGCTTTGCCGTCTTGAGAGGAGTCGAGGGTAGTACTTTTTCACTTGCCAGACTGGAGGCAAGGTCTGGGCTTGGGAGACCTGGGAGAGGAGGCCCTTTCCTGGGATTTGCAGCTCAGCCCGTTGGGGGTAGACTAGGAGTACTGGTGAGCAGGGGCTCGGGGTGGCCTCCCAGCTCTTTTGTCAGTGTTTTCATTGTTACTGTCATTCACGAAAGGGGCAGCTGGAGATGGCATCAGCGCCTTTCCTGAACAGCCTCAAGCCTCAACACCGAGCAGGTGCTGGAAATAGCGAACGCGGTGGGTCAGATTTTGAGTGAATTTAATCTTCTGTTGACTCTGTCCAAAAACATTTTAGAGCTCTTTATGTAAGAGAGTGTAGGGACTTTCCCTTTAGTAAAGCTGTGGTTGGAACGACTGTTTTGGGGGATTACTTTCTGGAGTCACATTTCTGTTAAGTTGACAAAGTTCCATTGTGATTCCTGAATTTTCAGTCATTTGGTATTGGCTTATCAATAAGGAGACCCAACTCTTTAATGTGAGGCAGATCATGTTCTCCTTTGCAAATAGTTGGGTTGGACAGTGACATGGTTTGTGAGAAGACAAAGATTTGCAAGATAATTCATTTCTCTGAGGTTGCTAAGCTCTCTCATTAAATGCATGCACTTTACTGACTCACTGAAAATTTCCTGTGTTAAGAAGACACAAAGGATTTGCAGGCCTAACAGGTAGCTATAGTTTTGCATTAAGCAGATGACTTTTCATGGTTACAGTGGCTTCCCTCATGGTCCCAAAGTACTTCATAAATATTTCATCAGGTCTCACAACCTAGAATGTCAGCGAAGCTTTTCTTGTTCAGTTTATGCAGATGTGCCCATGATTCTGTACAGACCAGTGGCAGAACAGGAATGGGAGTCACTGGCTCCTGGGTTTGCCCTCCAATCACGGCACTATTACTATTACATTTATCAATGAATAATAGTCTTTTCAGGGTTGTAAGTCACTGAACGTTTTTTCTTCAGTGTATTCTGAAGCACTACAGAGTCTCAGTTTTCACTTTCATGACCATCTTTTGGTTATTTTGTCTTCTATACCTTTCAAAAATGTTTTAAACTTCTTTTGTAGTTTGCATTGAAATGTGGGCAAATGATTCCAGAGCAATTTTTATATGTTCTTGAACATTCTTTTCATAGTAAAATAAGGCATAGTTCACACTGCAGACTTGAAAAGACTCCTTCAATAATCTTCTTAATGTAAGAATTCTTTACTCTAGCTCAAGACATTGTGTTTTTAAAACTATCAATAGTGAACTAAAATGGGCAACTTAAAAATTTTTTTTAAACTATATTCTTATTTCCCTCAATTCTGAATGAAATCAATGTCATTTTGGTAATGTGAGTTGTCATGGAGAAGTTTATTGTTAAAAAAAATTCAGACCATGTGTCGCTTGTGTGTGTGTGACTTAAGTAATAATTAAGGGTGAATTTAAAGCAATTTAGTTTTAAAAGCTGATTGCATGTTTTAACAATGATTAAAAATATATCTAAGTAAATTTTGACTTAATTTATTGATCCCTAGACCCCAGTGTACCTAGATTGGTAACACTGACCATTGGAAAAATTTTACTTGTGTTATTGTTGTTCCCTTAAACTAGCCTTAAAAGCATATAATAGGAGGCATGTGCTTTTGGATTGTCATTCTGTAGTTCCTACAGCATTCAAATGATTGTGTCTGTAGAATTAAAGTGTTTAATTATTGATAAAAGAGATAAATAAAATATGCTTCATTTATATAGCTAGTTCAGGAAAAAAAGTGTGTACATACATATATGTATTTTGTATATATAACACACATCTTCATTTTAATTTACACCTTGCTATATGCTAGATCCACTGATAGACATATCAAGTATTCCCTGCCCTCCAGGAAGATAATTTGAAGTAAGTAGTAACTCAAGACAGCAAGTAAATATCAGATAAATTGAAGCAGTGCTTCTAGGGGCTAGGAGGAGGGTGGAATCACTTCAAAGATTGAATTATGCTTGGAAGGAAGGGTGTTTGGGTAGCTTTGGAAAGGGGAAAGTACATTGGGGAACACCACAAAGATACAGAGGCAGGTGAGTATAAGTAGGTCAGTTTGATAAGAATGGACGCTTCTAACACGGGTGTGGTTCGGGGACCTGGTTGAAGCTAGGGTGTAGGTGCCTACGCATTCATAGGGATTTTCACTTACGCAATGGGCAGTCAGGACCAGTGCAGAAGTTTCTGAGTAGGGGACTGATACACAAGAAACATTTTAGGAAAATTAATCTCATAGGACGATTAATCCTCGCTTCTTTACTGATGTACAGCAGGGATCAGCAAACTCACAGTGCCTGCAGTCCAAATCCAGCCTGTGACCTTTTTTTTTTTTAATTTTTTGGTAAAGTCCACTGGTGAAGTATGGTTTTTAATTTTTAAAGGGTTTAAAAAAACAAAACCAAGAAGTGCAGTAGAGACTGTATGTGGCTTGTAAAGCATAAAGTTTTTACTATTTACTGGCCTACAGAAAAAAAATCATTGACACATAGTGTATGTTAGTGGTTCTCAATGTGACCTCTTGATCAGCAGCATGATGACTGTACTCTGTATTTGTTTCTGGGTGTGTTGTATCTTTCATTTGATTGTTTCAGGCCCTCCCTTATCTTCTGTCTGGACAGTTATAACTCTCTCCTAACTGCCGTTCTTTCTGCCAGCTTGATTCCCCTTAGGTCTATGTTCTGCATTGCTCCCTGGATAATCTCTCTGACCACATAATTTCTTTGCATAAACCTTACTGGCCCATCTTGCCTGTTGGATAAGGTCTAAGTCCTTTCATGACTTGGCATCTTTCTATCTCTTGCCACTTCCCCCAATCCCATCCTAGTTCTCCCTTTTACTACTCTTAAGCAATGTCTAACAGCTGTTCATTGTTTCTTTAAACACACTATGCTGTTTCTTATCACTGTGTTTTCATTCAAGCTGTTTCCTCTGTTGGAATGCACCTCACTAGGATAACTTCTAATGTTTTAAGGACTCAGATGTTAGCATCTCTTAGAAGCCTACCCTGATGCCTTTCCTCCCACTGTCTGTTTTTGATGTTCCTTTGTGTTGCTCTGTTTATCTCTATACTTTTACCTTGTTATCTGTGTGTGTGGTCTTTTGTAAGATTATGAACTAGAAACCAGGGATCATTTTCTACTAATTTTTTTAATACCCTAAGTTCTCAGCTCTGGTTTTGTACAACTTAGTAGATATTCACTAAGTATCTGAACAAGTGAACATTAAAGTACTTGTCACATAGGAGACTTGGACAAAGATATTGATGTCTGAATCTCTAGGAGCATTGGGCGTGATACAGGACCATTGCTAGTTAAGTCTTTGAGCATGGTGTAGGTGAAGAATCTTGGTAGAAGAGGATTAGAAATCTTGATTCACTAGTTGGGGGGACTGTATTTAATATAAGATTTTTAAAGAAATATGACATACATAGAAGTGTACAGCTAGTTGAAGTTTCACAAAACAGGCATATCATTTTAAGTAGCAGCCAGCTCGGCCAGTATCAGTACTGGAAGTCTCACCTTGCACCGCGTTCCTTGTATTCTAATGCCACAGGGAAGTTTTGTCTGTTCTTGAACTCTGTGTTAAAGGAATCGTGTAATATATATTGTTTGAGCTTCTTTTGTTCAACATTATGTTTATGAGATTAATTCATGTTTTACTGTGGTTTGTTTGCTCTATGAGTAAACCACAGTTTTTCCATTCTACTGTTGATGGACATTTACATACAGTTTTGCCGCTTTGAAAATTTTTGTACTCTTATTTCCTGATGAACACATATATGCATTTTTGTTGGGTATATACCTTAAGTGGAATTATTAGGTCATAGTTATGGCTATGATATATTCATTTTTAGTAGATTTTGCTGAAGTTCTGCCAAGTGGTTTCATAAACTTATACTCCCCTCAGCAGTGTGTGAGAGAGTTCCAGTTGTTCCACATCTTTGCCAACACTTGGTATTTTTATTTTTAGTTATGTCTGGAAGGGTGTATAGTGACATTGATTGTAGTTTTTATTTTCCTGATGACTGTTGACATTGAGCATCTTTTTTTTATTAGGGACCCCATGTTTATTAGCCATTTGAACTTCTGCTTTTGTGAAGTGTCTGTTAAGTCTTTTGCCCTTTTTCTACTAAGGTATTTACTTTTTCCATATTGATGTAGTTCTTTATGTATTTTGGATATAGTCTTTTTAGATAGGAGTATTGCAGATATCTTCTATTCTGTAGCTTTTTCAGGATCTTACTGTCTTTGTGACCCTAAAGTTCTTCATTTTAAAGAAGTCTGGTTAACAATTGGTTAGTGTTCTTTTGTTTCCATTTATGAAATCTCTACCTACCTTAGTGTCATGAAATTAACTTTCCTATGTTTTCTTTTAAAAGCTTTCTTTTCACCTTTCTTAGTAAGATCAGTAATGCATCTGCTTGATAGCTGTATCTGTATGGTTTTGGTAGGTTACAGAGATTTATTTTGAAATGTACATATAGAAAAAGTATAAAAAAATAAAGAAAAAGTATAAATGAGTGTGCAAAATGGGGGTATACTTTGATGAATATCCAGAAATATCCAGAAATATAACATACTCTGTAACTATCCCCTAGCTCAAGGAATAGAACATTTTCAACATCTCTGAGGGATCTATTACATTTTAGTGTTTTCTGAAATTGGTATATTTTATATCTTAAGTGTATATATAATGTGGGAGTATTTCCCCCCTGGAAATTGGTTGTTATAGCTTATAATCACTAGTGTCATAGAAGTAAGGAAATATATCAGCATCTAATGATTTCATAAAGCATTCTTGAAATGTTTGTTTGATATATCTTAATAGCAATTTGCTTTTTTAAGTTGTTTTAATTCTTTCTGTCATATTTCAGGAATATATTTAATAGAATTATATCAGGGGTCTATTGTTGGAAAACCACAACCTTTTTTTATTGCTTGTATCTTGAGTTCTAGAGTGTCAAAATATATCTTGGTGTGTGAGAAACAAATACATTCTCCTTTGAAAAGAAAATACTATATAGTATTTCATTTTGAAATGAGATTTTTTATATTATTAATATGGTTTTTCTGTATGATGGTCTTTCTTTGTTCGTCATCCTGTTATTTTATCTTGGAGAAGGGCAAGAAAGAGAACAAATTTCTTAGGTAAACTGTTGAGATTATTGCTTAACTACCTCTCACTTTCTCCATTGTCCTTTCACGTGCAGGTTCCAAGTCA